TGTATTTTTAAAAACTCACCTCATTGCTACCAGGATACCTTGTTACTACCCAACATCAGAAATGTCACCAAGGGCAGGGCATGTTGGTATACAACTATAATTCCAGCTACTTAGGAAGCAGAGATAGGAGGCTGGTGGTCTGCCCAGGAAAAAGCACAAGACCCTATCTAAAAAACAAATTAAAAGCAAAAAGACTCAAGTGGTAGAGTGGCTTGATAGAGGGGGATCAACTGATAGAGTGCTTGTCCAGCAAGTGGCCCTTGAGTTCAGTGCCCAGTATTGCCAAAAAAAAAAAAAAAAGCCATCAAATATAAAGTCACACTTCTGCTAAATTCTTCTGCACATCACTAAATATTTAACAACACATTCCTATGTTAATTCCTCTTTTCGTTGTGAATTTCATGTTATTTGGCAGAAAAAATTAGGCTTTCCTCAACCTGTAAGGAAGATGAATGCAATATTATATATGAAAAAAATCTTGTGGAAACACACACACACACATATTTAGGGACAAAGATGTCAAGGAAGAAGGAGAAATTAGCATTTGTATTTAGGAGTGAGCTCATTTATCTGCTTTGCCATTCTTTGTGCCCATCAGCTCACTGTGTTTGCAGATGAGATACTGATGCTGTTATTTATTCTATTGTTCCATTTTGGCTTATAATAGTATGTGCCCATTTTTTCCATCCTTACCTTTCTTGATTTTCTGTGGCCTGTGGTGAAATTACCTCCATACTCACAACTCTTCTTGGAGCTTCTAGAACACCACTGGCATCAGGTTTTTATTCTACACTCGGTTTTGTTTGTTTGTAGTTTTTGAGACAGGGCCTTGCTATGTAGCCCATGCTGGCCTTCAACTCATCATCCTTCTGCTTCTGTCTCTCAAGTGCTGGGAATGCAGGGGTGTACCACCATGCCCAGGTCTATTCTATACTTTTATCGTCTCACTTCTATATTCTTTCTGGTGACGTAAGTTACACCTACAACTATAATCTTTGCACTTGTAACTCTTGAAATCTAAATTTCCCTAAACTCACTCCTGAGGTCCGGACCTTTATTTCTAACATCCTATAAAACATTTCTACCTAGAAAGGCAGAATCAGTAGATGAAAAGCTCAAGTCACTACCTCTTCCCATCTCTTCACATTTCACCCTGTACCTGCTCCACTGGCCTAGCACACAGTGGCTGAAGCCTGCCATCCTCAATGCCCCCTGCCTCAAGCAGTTGGTTTCGGTCATTTCAATTGTTATGCCTCCTATCATCTCTCTGAGCCTGCCCTGTACTCTAATCATTGCCTTACTCTTAGTCCTCCTCATTGCTCACCTGGACTTCTGCATGAGAGCCTCCTAACTGGTATCTCAGCCTCCAGGTTTGGGCTTCTGGCCTTCCCAACTCAGCATGCCCTCGTCTAAAATCATTTGGTTAAAATCCCAGCTTATTATGGCATCTGATACTTGCTTGTGACACTTGCTTGCTGTTCTTGTCTTACCACCCTCAGCCTTACCACATGTGCTCCCAAATACTAGAAGACATGCCTCACATGTTCTCATGCCAACCTGTCTGCATAGGTATGCTCTGCTTCTTGTATTTGCTTGGCAAACCGTTAAATACTTTTTTCTTTTTGTGGTGCTGGGGATTGAACCTAGGGCCTTGTGCATACTAGGCATGAGTTCTGCCACTGAACTACACTCCTAGCCCTTCTATTCACTTTTCAAGACGACAGCTCAAATGCCACTTTCTTTCAAAAGCCATCCCTAATCTGAGCTGTCCTTTTGTCACTGCTCCCTAAACCACCAGTGTCCAGTTGAGTTAGGATTCCTTAGAACTGGGTTTCTTACCTCTATCAACACTCTCTACGACAGTATCACTGCTTAAAGACTGTCTCCTCTTTTTTTCCCAGCAATAGGAGGCTGGGAACTGTACTGAGTTCAACTCCTTATCACCAGGGCTCAGTATACTGATTCAGTATACAAGGCATGTTTGTTGGATGAAAGAATGGATTCACAGGGGAATGGGCAGTCTGCCTCAGTTGTCTCCCATGAATGGATTTTACCCTAGGCCCTTTCTTCTAGATTTTTTAACAACACAGTACATTATCAGTATCTATAGTTCCTGACTGTACAACAGACTCAGGCCCATAGCCCTAGTGCCCCATATTTGAGATTTACTCTTAAGGGAATGTCATCTAGATGGAGAAAACACCACCCTCTTTTAGCCAGTGTATCTAGCATCCTCTTCTAGTGAATTGTTCAGTGAAAAGTAGAAGCCAAAGACCTGAGGATGACCTTCACGGTCCTGCTACATTGCAGGACCCCACTCCCATGATCCTTCTGACATCTGCTGCAATCCAAGCTTTCCTCTATCTCTGCTCCAACCACAAGGGCCTCCTTGCTCATTCCTGAGAATGTGGGGCCTGTTTCTGCCTCACAATCTTTGCATTTGCCCAGAATATTAAAACATTCTTTCTCCTAAGAGCTATTGTTTCAGGTCTTTGCACAAATGTCATATTCTTAGTGATGCCTTCTATAGACCACTCCTGGCACCTCATACTTCCTGGACCCCTATTTTCTCATTCTATTTTTTTATCCATAATGTCTACCATCTGGCACACTTTGTATTTTGTTTCTTTCAATAAGTGTACGCTCCTTGTTGGTAGGAATTTTTGTTTGTTTTATTCCCTGCTGAATCTCTAGAATCTTTTCCTGGAACATAGCATGTGCTCTATGAGGGATCTGGCACACTAGATCATGGTTTGTGAGCTTTTAAAGAAGCTACCCAATCAACAACAAAACAGACAACCCAATTAAAAAATGGGCAAAGGACTGGAATTAGCATTTTTACATGTACAAAGGGTCAAAATGCATATAAAAGTGCAACAACACTAATCATTAGGGAAATACAAGTCAAAAGTACAATAAAATACTACCTCATATCCATTAGGAGTATAAGAGAGAAACAGAGACAGACTGACAGACAATTGTAAGCAAGTATGCAGAGAAATTAGAACCACTGAGCATTATTGGGGGGAATGTAAAATGGTGCAGATGTGTGGAAAATTAAACAGAATTTCCATATAATATAGCAATACCACTGCTAGGCATATATCCAAAAGAACCAAATTTTAGAACTCAAAGAGATATTTAGAACACCTATATTCAGAACAGCATGATTTCCAAATATGCAAAAGGTGAAAGCAAGTCAAATGTCTACTAACAGATGAATGGATAGGTATTGCTCAAAATATGGTATATTATCAATACTCCATAATTTGATGGAGTATCAAAAGATAGACTATTACTCAGCCTTAAGAAGGACATTCTGACTCATGTTATAACATGAATGAATCCTGAAGACTTTATCCTAAGTAAAATAAGTCTCACACAAAGGAACAGATATGATACTATTCTACCTACATTGAGTATTCAGACTGTACAAATATGTAGAGAGAAAATAGAATGGTGATGCCAAGGGCCCTTAAAGGAAGAATTGGGGGAGTTAGTGCCTGATGAACATGGAATTTCAGTCTGATAAGATGAAAAAGTTCTGGAGTTAGATGATGATGGTGGCACAAACGTGTGAACATTCTTAATGCTATTGAACTATACACTTAAAAACAGCTAAAATGGTAAGTTTTATGTTATATATTTTTTACCACAATTAAAAACAAAAAGCAGCACAGTTCTTGCCCTAAACTCTAACAAGAAGCTTAATGTGTGAGGTTGAGGCAGGAAATGGACAGCCAGGTTATGTCCACGATGCTGAGCACCTTGTTGCTGTCTCTGGGAACAGGGATCCCAGAGTCACGGAACCATCACAGGGGAGGGTCAGGGCTCTATCCTAAAGTGCATATTACACTGGCTTCATGTTCTTATGGACAGGAAGTTAAAACACTACTCCTAACTCCATTTCTAGGAGGAATTGCAAGAAGGAAAAATGTCTTCACCAACTGGTTTTGGGACAAATGTCTGTACTGACTTACTTTTAAGGAAATCACTTTATATCCCAGTGGCAGGAGAGGAAAATCAGAGGAAAGAGCAACATTATGCCACTTGCACTCATATTCCATTATCATTAATGCTTCCCACTTTCTGAGCCCTTTCCCATAAAACTCAATTGTCAAAATAATCTTGCCAAGTAGGAATGAAAGGAATCATATAATCTTCCACTCACAAGTGAATAAAAACACAAAATTCAGTGAGTCTTATCCACAGAGAATGACAGAGGAGGACTATGCTTGGGATAAAAATCACTAACACTTACTAAGAATTTATCAATTAAGACACTGATTCAACATTTTCCAAGGATTATTGTATTCCCTATTTCCAACCAACTTCCTCCTACCATTTGATAGTTACTACTGTTAATATTCCTTTTTATAGAACAGAAAACTAAGGCCTAAAGAATAAGTATCTCAACATTAACCAGCTAATAAGAGGTAAAGTTCATTAAGCCATCTTACTCCAGAGTCTGTGTACTTAAACCAGTATGATTCTGTCCTGCCCAGTAGGGTCCTCGACTCTGGCCTTTTGGACCTAGGCCTAACAAAATGCTTCCTTCAGTCTTGAAAACAAGTATAAGTGATGAATTCCATAAATCACTGTGTTTTTTTAACTCTAAAATGACCTGCTACTAATGAAATGTCAGTACTCATTATTCTCTGAGCATAAAGGCAATGCAACACTGTTTTTCAGACTAAGAAGAGATTTCATGATCTTTTAAAATCTGGTAAATTTTTTATACAAAAATATCCATACTATTACTAGCATAAGCAGTCACATTTTTGCCATCTCATTCAATGTTCCTGATTTTTCCAGTGTGCACCTCTCCACAGAACTAAATAATCTGCTGATAGACAGGCTGCTAATGAGTCCTTACCCTTTTTCTGAGAGTTTCTTCAGAACTTTCTGAGGATGTCTGCTTTATTCTCCAGAAACTGGAGCAGAGAGATGTGCTTTGTGGTTTGTCAGTGGCAGGACATAAAGTCTACAGGGCCACCCATGGGCTACAAAAGCTCTGGCCAAATGGAATAATATTAATTTTCAATAATGTCAGGCCACGCTTCAACTGGCCAACTATAATGAATAGGCAAGGGGAAGAAAGGGACAAAGTCAGAACTGAGCTTCAAGCCAACAGCTAGAGTTATTTCTAGCCCTCATGAAAAGCTTCTAGACCATTTCCTTCACAAGACCTAGAAGGGGCTTCTTTGAAACCACCAAAGATTATATTAACTCCTAAACCAGAATTTATTTATAGTGATAGTGACAGTGTCATATTTACTTGGTCAATATGTGTCACCTTCAGCTTGGGAAAAATGATGCCCTCAGTATAGCCACCCCCCCAACTCTGGGACACTGCTTTTTCTCACTTTTCTTCCTCATCTGGATGAATTCCTAACATCTTACAGTGATGTTAGAGTATGTGCTGTCCCTCTCTTCTGACAACCAAGGACAAGGGGCATCTTACTGCATTCTCCTTTAGCTGCAGCCCTTCCCCATTTGGAAGGGAGGACCGTCTCTTGGAGTTTCTGTTTGGGGTTGATGTAATGGCCCCGGCTTTCTTCTTCACAGCAAGCACCTCACAGCTGGCTTGGTCTTCATTGTGTGTGCTCTTCCCGCATTGATAACCCTGGAGAAGAAGCCAGAAAAGCTGATCAGACAGGGATTTCCGGAAAGCTGAGAGCTTCAGGGGTCAGCTAAGGCACACTCCATAGCTGGCATAAAACTAAAGCACCACTTAATGCAAAGGACCCGATAGTCTTGGTATTTATGTCCTGAATAAACAGACTTGAAAATGAAATTATATTAGCACCCACTGAAACATTTAACTGAAGAACTTGTTCTGAGCTCAGTTCACCTCCACAGGTGTCTGATGGATGCCTCAACCCCATGACCCATTCTAGTCAAAACACATGATGCAATCACTCTTTCAGGTTAATCTGGAGGCTGAACTGGCAATTACAATGAAAACAGTCTGTCTTAGGCAATTCTGTTTCATTTCTCCAAGCAATAAATAGCAAAGCCATCACTAATGCTATCAAAAAATACGGCAATAATTTACAGCACATTGTAAAGTTCAAGGAAACAGAGAACCATACTTCATTGTGCCACACTACCTTTTACTTTATACACAGGGAAATGAATGAAATAGAAGCATATTCTTTTAAAAGTATTTTTAATCCATCTTTTTTCCTCAAGAATATTGCTCACCACATCATAGGGCTATTCTGATTTGGATAGCAAAGACACGTAACAATGCTGCCACAGCATTTTGGTACTAATTTGGTTTAATTACCATATTTTTAATATTTTGAGACAGGGTCTCAATTTGTAGCCCAGGCTGACCTGGGTTTTCATTATCATATCCCATACATGCATGTATTGTACTTTGACTATATTCACCCCTTTTATTACCCTTTCTTATCCTCCCCTTTCACATCCCTTAGAGACTCCCTTTTACTTTCATGTCCTCCCCTCCACCCAGATTCCACATAGAAGACAGAATATGCCATATTTGTCTTGGTGAGACTAGCTTTATTTTAACATGAAATCTCCAGTTTCATCTATTTTCCTGAAAATAACATAATTTAATACTTCTTTACACCACATTTTCTTTATCCATTCATCTGTTGATGGGCATCTAAGTTGATCCTATAACTTGGCTATTGGGAATAGTGCAGTGATAAACATGGGTGTGCAGGTTTCTCTATAGTAAGCTGATTTTGACTCTTGTTTATATACCCAGAGGTGTACATACTTTTAAAAACTGCAGTAACTTATTTATTTATTTTGGCAGTAGTAGGTCTTGAATGCAGGGCCCAACACTCACTAGGCTTTGCTAGGCAGGCCCTCTATCACTTCGGCCACTCCACCAGTCCTGTTTTGTATTTAAGTTTTTTTCAAGATAGGATCTTATGTACTATTTGTCTCGGCTGGCTTCAAATTGCCATCCTCCTGATTTCTGCCTCCTGAGTACCTAGGATTATAGGCATGAGCCACTGGCACCCAGCAAAAATTAAAAAGGTCATTTGCTTCCACAGATGTGACAAAACCTATGTATTTCAGACAGCTGTGGCATATTAAACCTTTTATCTTTCCTCTTCAATTGACCATTATCATTTTGTTAGAAGGAGAATTGTTTTTACAAAACTTAACACTTGTGGACTGGAAGCATGGCTCAAGTGGTAGAATGCTTGCCTAGCAAGTGTGAAGCCCTGAGTTCAAACTCCAGTGCTGACAAAACAACAAAAAAACCTACCACTTACAATTACTTACCTGCATGCTCACAAAACAGGACCATGCCAGTCATCTATTACCTCCCCTATTTCAAATTTTTGTATTAATCAAAGCTCCTTAATTGTTCTTATTGGGTTTACTACAAATTTTAACTTAAGCATATTTTTATGCATGATAATCAACCTTTACTCATTTTGCATATTACTGGGGGTTTTTGTGTAAGATTAAAAAATTTGAATGGAGATTATTGCCTACTGTGATTGAAAATTATTGCTTGGGGGCCTGTGTAAGGAGGTGAGAATTCTTACTATCTGCAAAGTCAGATAAGCCTTTGGTGCTTATCCAATACACATTCTCAAAGGTAGAGGGTTGGAAGGGAGGGTTTCACGACTATTTTCTACCTTCACCTTCTCTCTTCTAAGGAAGAGACTTTTCATGTTTTGAGTATAAACTGTGATTTGTGAGCACACAATGTTTATTGATAGTGCTACACTTACCACCAAAGCTAAGTGACTCATCTCAAGTGCCACAGCTGGGATTCAGAATGAGGCCCATCTTGACTCCCAATTGAACCTTGTCCTATGACACCATATGGGGACATCAATTCATCTGTGGCAGGCCAAGCTGGACCTTGGGGATACGTGGAATAGTCAGAGTAGGCTAGCTTTGGTTCAAGCCTGAGAGCAAGTTGGGAAGAGGGTTGACTCTCTTCCTGCTTTGCTGGCTACTGGAGGAGTCTGGGAACAGGGAAGGGGATGTACAGGTGTCTGAATGGCCTTTCCCAGAGAAGTTCATACTTAATCCAGGCCAAGTCACTGGGGGAAGAGGAGGAGGGAACTACAGCTGAGGCTCACAATACAAGACATGCATCTGTCAGGAACATCTCTTTCATGTCTGTTCCTGGAGAATCAAACCAGGCAGGCAGTGGAAGGAAGTATGAAATACCACCCACCTCTCTTCAGTCACTGGTAGTGACTTTCTAAGCAAGGCACCTGGGGTGGACTGTTTACTGCAAGGTGATGTTATATCACTATGGTCTCTAATACGAGGGACTTTCTAAGGGTGAGGTGGAGCTCTGGTGGGGAAACTGGCTCATGTCAGGTACTCCCTCATACTGTTGTCTGTACAAGATCCCAACTACTATTTCTAGAGCCTGGCATCACTCTACCATCAGACTTTGCCTTGTGCTGTAGTCAGGTGTTTTTATTTTTGTTCTGATTTTTGAACAACAACAACAAAGCACTGCTGATTTCCAATAGTTACCTGCAAGGTTGACTCATCAGCCACTGCTGGTTTCCCACAGTCAACAAAACTACTATAATTATGTAAATAGTGATCACATCCCTTTAAAGTGTTTTGTCTCCTGTTTCCGTTTATGGATGGATATTAAGCTCCAAAGCTGAACTGACTTCACAAAGAGGTCCCAGAAACCTTATTTCATGCATGAGAAACCCCAGACCCTGGAAAACTGTGACCAGCACAAGGTCACACAGCTAAATACTTCAGAGTTGTAAACATACTTCAGAGTTGCGAGCTCCTTCTGCCTCCGTTCTCAGGTTGTGTTATTTTCCTATTGTGCATCTATTCCTGGCAGCATGTGGTTCAGAGGTCTGCACTGCAATGACTCATCAAAGCTGCAGGGCTGTGAAAGAACAACTACTGGTGACCTTACTTTGACATTTCATGTTGAATACAGCTTGTGAATAACACCATGAAATACTAACAAATCAGAAATGTCAATCTAGTGGGAAGACAGCAGCCCCAATCTCATAAGACATTTAGTAAGACTTAGTTAAGACATTTGATTATTATCCAAAGGACAAAATACTAAATATTATTTAAATAACAACTTAAAATTAATCCCTTTATCACACACACACACACTCCCCTTTATCTTGCATCACTGGGGATTGAATCCAGGGTCTCCTGTGTACTAGGCAAGTGCTCTCCCACTGTGCTATATATCTCTAGCCCCTTATCATTTTATATTATTTTAAATTCCAAGTTCCACACAGCTTTAGTAGAAAGACCTAATTCTTCTCAATTTACCTTGACTCTAAAAAGTACAATCGCTATCAACTTAAATATTTTGTTTTGCTCTTCAAAGGCTGTTTATGAAGTGTAAAGGAAATCTTTAATTCCACTAGAACTAAACTGAGAAAAATTTAGTTTCTGAAGTCCATGAGGAGCCATGCAGTTAGCAGATTCAACAGTTTCCTCAGAGGCAAGCCCTGGAGTCAGTAGCTCTACTCCCTTCATGTCTTTTACACCAGCATAAAGTCAACAGGCCTTTGTGCTCAACAGGTACATTCTTTGTCTGAATAAGACTTGCCCAGGCTGCTTATTTTGAAGACTTAAAACAAAATACTGATGGACCAAGAATCACCATACTTTTGGTGATATTACTTTCAAGTCTCCTAACAAAGAAGGAAAGAAGGAGAGGAACGAAAGAAAGCATTTTCGTTGAAATTAAACGGGAGGCAGTAAATTGTGGTTCACAGTCTGGGCTCTCTCCCTAGAACATGCCACAGAGCAGGAGCTGTTGCATGAATGAGGGAATCGATCAGTCAGAAATTGATGCTGCTACTTCCTGATGGAGAGAATTGTATCTCACATTTGTTGAGAACTGTCCATGTTCCAGAAGCTGTTGTTGTCAGCATTTCTTATGTAGTAATTAACTCATTTCATCAACTCTGAGGTAGCTACCACTGTCAGTGCCTTTTAAAAGACAAAGACAGCTAGTGTGTGGCACAGTTCAGCCAAGTTACTTCTTCAAATCTTACTTCCTTGGCTGTACTTCATGAACTAAATTCTATGAGGGGTGTGTGTGTGTGTGTGTGTGTGTGTGTGTCTGTGAGGCAGGAGGATTTTAGTCATCTAAATTAAAGTATTGGGTAATTTTGAAGCTTGGATTAAAGTTCAGGAAGGAAAAAATATTAAAAGGTGAGAAGGATAATTACTGTCTCTTCAATACAGAAAGTTTATACCCAGTTTTTCAACTCTTGGAAGAACAACACATTTGCTTAGGGAGAGCTAAGTGGCAAAGTTAATTCATTCGTGTACTACTTTAACCTAGGAACCTACCTTCAACTAAACCATACCCAGGTTTCTTCTCTTTGTAAAAAAAGGTAAACACAGAGCTTCAGGGGCTTAGAGGTAAAAAATTCTTTGTGTTAGATGCAGTTCAAAGTTATGACCTAAATACTTGGTGTGAGCGTGACTGTAAGAACAAAAACACAGCAGCAAGTTGTTCATTCTGTGCTCCCCTGATACCTTTGGAAAACTTGTTTTCCTTCTTGCTGCTTATGAAATATGCTAGTCAAATTTTTTTGGTAATCAATGCCACGTGAATTTTAGCAGAAAATTCCTGTTTTTAATCACAATAGTTTGATT